TATTTTTTTATGAAATAGCAGAAAGGGTTTTAGTGGTAAAATTGTAGACCCACTCTGAACCCTCAGAGTGTTGGTGAAGCCCTGGGAGCAGCGCGAAGACAACGGGCATAACAGGCCGTGCTCCAGCTGAGGATCTGCCCCTCCCCGTAGTGGATGTGAGGGACATGGAGTTCCAGCCACGGCCGACCTAAGATGAGGGGCGCTTGGGGAGACTTTAGGAGGTAGAAGCGGACCTCCTTGCTGTGGTTCCCGGAGATGGTCATGGTGAGCAGCTCCGTGCGATGGGTGAGGGGGCCTAGGCTGTGACCGTCTAGTGCCGAGATGGCGAGGGGAGACTCCAGCGTGATGAGGGGAACCACCGCCGAGTGGGCCAACTTGACGTCGATGAAGCTCTCATCAGTGCCCGAGTCAATGATGGCCCCCACGGTGAGAGTCCAGTCCAACCAGGAGAGGGTGACGTCGAACCGGGCCGGATTGGCGGTTGGTAGGGAGCGGGTGACTCGGCTCACCTCAATTCCCCCTTCAGGTGAGCCTAGTCTTTTGGCCGGAGAGGACAGGTGTCATGGCGATGTCCCTCCTCCCCACAATAGAGGCACCGTCCCTCGTTCCTCCTCCGTGCCTTCTTCGCCGCAGTCAGACGTGCTCTGCCCAACTGCATCGGCTCGGGGATGGCAGGTGTTGGATCAGCCGGTTCCATTGCCGAGGGAGGACTGGCCCAGAGAAAAGGAAAAGGATACGTTCGTCGATGTCAACGGCCAATGTCACCAGGTCGTCCAGAGAGGCAGGCCTGTCTCGGACAAGCTCGTCCTTCAACCACTCGCTCAGCCCCCGGTGGAAGGCGCTCCGAGCTACCGAGCGATTCCCCTGATGCAGTGACATAAGTTGTGCCCCGACATCCAGCCCGGCGGCGGGATGATTGGAAACCCTCCTGAATTCGGCCATGAAGGCCGTATAGTCCTCAAAGAGGTCGGGACGGGCACTGAGGACGGCTTGAGACCAGTTGAGGGCATTGCCGGTGGTGAGATTGGTGATGAAGGCCACTCGTGTGGCCGGTGAGTGGAACTGGCTGGGTTGGTGACGGAATATGAGCTCGAATTGCAGGCTGAACCCCCGGAACTGAGAAAAGGTCCCATCGAAGGGACGGGGGTTCGCTAGAACGAATCACGGGAGTGGGTGATCGAAAGTGCCGGTTGGGACAGGGGGGCAGGCGGGGGCGGAATTGGGGCTGGAGCTGGGACACCTGCTGCTGCGAGAGCCGCCACCTGCAGAGACAGAGTCCGAATCATGGCAGTGAGGTCGTTCATCTGGTCGGCTCGTCTCTGCTGCACTGCTTCCTGGGTCTGAAGGCGGCCACTCAGCGACTGGACTGCAATGGAGGCCTCCCGCAGCAACCGTCCATGTTCCACCAGGACTCCTTCCTGAGCCTGGAGGGCAGCCTGGATCTGTTCGGGGGGTGAGGCTCCTGCGTTGGCTGAGCTCTGGTCCATGGCCAGATCAATCTGTTACGGCCGGGCGAAGGCTGAGACTCAGACAAGCAGGCGGGGATAGGTTTAAATGCCTGGATAGGCTTTTATTGAAACTGAGAGGTCGGGGCCAGGTCGGGGGGGGGGGGGGGGGGGGTTAGGATCCGGGGTCGCTGTGGCGAAGGCGCAGGATCCAACCCTCGGTCCGTGGAGGATAACTGCTCTCCAGGAAAGCGGGGAACGCCGGCAGGGAGCAGGATAGCAGGAGGGCCAGTGCTTCGATGCAGCGTGGGTGGATAACGAGGAAACGAGACATGGTAAGTAGACAACGGGAACAGACTTCGGGTATGACATACAGTCTACTTGCCAGGTATATCTTGGGGTAGATCTGGCGACGAGTTGAGAGGAGGTCCGGGTATTTGTAGGCAGAGGATGATTGGGAAGTGCTGTCAGCTGCATCGAAGACCGGCTCCGCTAATTAGCTCCTCCGTTGCCCCTGGCGACGGAGCAGGCGCTGGGTGTGGGCAGAGGTGCTGGGTGTAGCCGGGGTGTGTGTAGGCGGAGCCGTAACACATACTAACAAAAAAAATCACCATTTTGGGTTCACTGGCACTTTAATACATCTATGGTTGGTGCGAGTGCTTTCATGCACAGTACAGCAGTGCAGCACACCTGACTTTGGAAATAATTAGAGGGAGAATACATGGTATTTTTGGGTAAAACTGTCTACTAATTATACAATTACCAGGCTTTTGTAGTCTCGAACCAGCAACCCTGGTTTGAGATTTCACCCTACCCTAGATTTGAAAGAAACTCTTATAGCAATTTCTAGTAAATATCATTTTCTACCTTTAAGTACTAAAAACTAAACTAAACTAAAAACTCAAATAGAGCTATAGCTGAATTAAAATACCCCTATTACACTATGCCTCCATTAAACTATGCCTCCATTACACTATGCCAGTAATGGAGATTATGCACATTCCCTTGAAACCACCTTCTACGTACTCCTAATTCCTTGCTCTTCATCACTGTGACTTTATTTCTTTATTTTTTTCATCCACCTCTTCTGTTGCACACATACGCACACACACACGCACAGCCATGGCCCAGGGCTCTCTCTCTCTTCCTGTTGCTCAGGTTCTCTCCCTGTGTAAAACCTGTGTTCCAGAGAGGAGGAAGGAACCTTTTTTCTCTCTTTGCCCCTGGAGTACCTACACCTGGTCTAGATCAGTTTTGTGGCTTTGTTTTATAATTTGATAATTTGATGTTGTTTGGGTTAACTTATGGGAAACGGAGTAGTTTTTACTCTTTTTGTTTCGTCTGGACGGAGCTCCTCGCCTTTAATCTGTTCATTTTGGTGGGCTACAGCACTTGATAACTAACTAAGTAATAACACTTTCTCCCAATCAATATGCAGTAACTAAGTTGTTTTTGGTGATTTAAACAGTTTACGTAATGTTTGATCTCTGTCATCTGTCAGCTAATCCTTACTGGGGTAGTAACACAATCAAAGAAAATATAACATGCAACTATTGTTTATACATACACACAACCCGCAGCAGACTCTCTCCTTTACTACAACTACTATTACTACAACTACTAGTCTATTCTTCTCTTGCCTGAATTCATCATAAGCATGAATGAGTGTTTGTAAGGCATGTAAGGTAGAACAGAATGAATGTGGGATAGCTCTTTTTGCACAAACTCATGGATGGCAATTTGCACAGAAGCCTCTATGTTTGTACTTTTGTATGTATGTTTGTACTTTTTGTACTTTTACTGTCTCCCTTATAATGCTGTTTGTTGTATGTGGTATGTTGTATGTATTTTACTGTTGTTACTGATGCAGTAACTTCCCTATACCCAAGACAAATTTCTCCCTGGGGAGACGAAATAAAGTAACTTTGAACTTTGAACTTCACCATTTAGTGTCTTGTGTGCAATTCACTTGAAAATCAGATGAAGAAAATAACAGTTATGGATTTATTTTTAATAAGAACATAGATTCACCCCGTCGTTCCAGCCAGCGACCACACTTTGTGCCAAAGATGTGTTTACTCACTGAGATTATTGACTCACATTTTGATGCAGTTGAAAATATTCATTATAACCGAACAAACACTGGGGTAATTAGCATTGTATAACTTTCTAGCCTTTATTTGATGAATTCAGGAAGATACCCGAGTACCTTTTTTTGAATGTCCAATTCAACTGGACACTATACAGCTACTGAGCACATCCTTATCACGTCTTTATCACATATCAAACCCTACTTACTCACATCGTACTTACTCTTCCAACAGAATAGAAATAGAGCACAGAGCACTGAGCAGATATGAAGAGCAGGTCATAGAAACCCATGACTCTTGCACTGCCCAGCTCCTTTTTTAAATATTCATCATTCCTATGCACGTTGTATAGAAGACCTAGAGCAATACTAATGGTTATCAGGTAATGCATTGATTCAAATTTAATAAAAAAGATGAATAAAGGACTGAACACATGATAAAATCAATCCATCGATTGATATGTCAGATTCAATTAACTAGTAAGTAGTACAAATCTATATTAAAGGGGAACCGTCACACTCGCTGTTGTGAAAAAAATTGCTGTCTGTAACATCAACTCCAGTTCTGTGAAAATGGTTTAGATGATTTTGCAGACCAACATGCGTATGAAGTAGTATTCTTGTTATGGTACAGGACGAGTGGACCCAAACGCTGAACACAGGGAGGCGGAGACGGGATGAAAAGACAGGGGATTTATTTAGACAAAAGGGAAATAGCAACAAGCCAGGCTAGGCCAGCGGTAATCGGGCAGGCGGGGGTTCGGCAACAGGCAGGTAGTCGGACAGGCGAGGGGTCGGCAACAGGTGGGCAGTCGGACAGGCGATGGGTCGGCAACAGGCGGGCAGTCGGACAGGCGATGGGAAACATCGAAGCTTCCAGGGTGCTTTAAGTTGTCAAGAAGCAATACTATGAAAAGATGATATGTGCTGCTTGCTCTGAATTTAATTGTAATTTACAACTTCAGGGATTTCTCTTTGTGATGTTTCATAGAATACCACAAACTAAATGGGGGCAACTCATTTTCTTACTAGGTTCAAGGGTAGGCTGGGGCCTAATGTGTAGTGACAACCCCATTGCCTGAATGCTCTCAGCCGTAGGAGGAGAATGCAGGCCTAAGCCGCTCCTTCCTTTACATTGCTGTTACTTCTTCCTGAAAGATCAAAGGGTTAATGCGTAGAATGTAAGAATCTATTGATGCGATTCCGCAGCATTACCAAAACCAGGCTTTACAATCAAATCAAACCCGAACACAAAAAAATGAAAATATGCAAATCAATGATGAAGGAGAAATTACATTTCCATAGATGAGCCAGCTGACCAATACATTGAAGCAGTCGCACTTTGCATGTCAAGAAAGGGAGTTTGTCATGCCACAATCCTTGTGGGACTAGATGCAAGCTCCATAAGATTACGTCTCTACTCAACATGAAGAAATCCTGTTGATTTTTGACAGCTGCTAGATTAGGCAGCAGTAGCTCAGGAGGTAGAGCAGGCGTCTGACAAGCGGAAGGTTGCTGGTTCGATCCCCGGCTCCTCCTAGCTAAGTGTCAAGGTGTCCCCGACCAAGACACTTAACCCTAACTGCTCCTGATGAGCTGGCGGTTCCCTTGCATTGTTGAATAAGCACATGACAAGAAAGACAAGGGGAATACATATGACGATTTTTGCAATTTTTGAAACACGTAACGGAAACAGTTATCCCTCTAACGAAAGTCCCTCCCTCTCTCTCGTGGGCTACAGAACAGGCTGCGCAGCTGCCGCTGCTCAGGTATTACTCCCTCCGAAGCATGCTCGGAAGTCCTGCCCTCTATCTCCCCAGTAACGCACATTTGAAGCACCCTGTTCCAGGCATCCATAGTGAGATTATAACACCTGGGAATGAGGTTAGATAACATTAGAAAACGTTGATGGAACGCTCAAGAGACTTCTAAAAAGAGATGTTACCGTGATGGCAGGTCCGGCGAAGGCTAGGCTCAGCAGCATCAACAGGGGGATGACCTCGTGGTTGGGGTCAATGTAGGGCAGGCTCAGGCTGCGGTCATGGCAGGTGAAGCCGGACTTGACCGGCTTGAACACATCTGTCCACTCCAGGAAGTAGAGGCTGACCACCGACGACACCAGGATGGGTAGCTGTCCATAGCCACACAGATAGGAGATGGGGTGAAAGGTGGGAGAAAGAGAGACAGAGAGAGATAGACAAGTTCAAGGCAAAGTGCTACCAAGCTTGGGGCAGTCCGGGAGTTGACAGATTACAAACAAATTAATAAATAAAAGCGACAATGTCCCCTATAATCGTATGGTTCAGTGGCGATGCTAATTTGATTTTGTGACAGAAGATGAAGGTTTGGGAGATAGTAATTATTTGTCTTTCTTGCGCGTGTATGTGTGTGTGCGTGTGTGTACGTGCATGTGGCAAAGAGTGTCGTTGGGATGATGTGGAAATAATTGCAATAAATATGAAGTGCTACCACTAATAGGGGACTCAAACTTGTATAGCATTAAACCTGTACCCCAATCCTTTTATACAAACCAGAAGAGAAACTCCAGGGAAACTTGCAGAGGGGTCGTTAAAAGGTGGTTGTAAAACACAAGGCGGTAACACAGCGGGGAAATCACAACCATGAAATAAATGGATAAGTTCCTGTGTGGAAAAAAAAAAAACGTATTAAAGAAAGACTCTACTGCGCTTTTAAACTTCAGAAATGAGTAATGCTTTCTCACTGGTAGGGACAGTGCTGCTACAGTAAAAGCATATTACATCCCAAAAGCATATTAGCACTGGTTTATTTTAAATGGGGGTCAGGATAGATGGAAGGTATGTTGTACAATGTCCTTTCATACTAAGGGCCCTATTTTAACGATCTGAAAAGCATGGTCTGAAACGTGCGGCGCAGGTGCATATAGGACCTGTCCCAATCAACTTTTGCTAGTTCCGCTCCACTGGCTGAAGGTCCTCAGGCTGGACCCAGTTGGCAGGAGCAGGGGGTAGATGTGGAAATTATGACATGTATTTTTTAAGAAATATCTTGATGTACACAATTATAATCTTTCATATTGTAATCTTTTTCATTTTGAATGGTTTGCGTGTTTGTGCACTGCTGCGCCTCCCTGTGTGTGGAACAAGCAGAGTGTACGAGCATTGTGCACCGGCATATAGGCGCGTATTATGAACGCACCCTTTAAAATTACAGTGAAACACCACGCCGTTGACTTTCGACCAGGTTTCTGTTGGCCAATGGCGCAATTGCTTTCAGTTGCCTCAAGATAGCAATTCAGCAACAAATATGCCTGAACATGCCTAATTTTCAGATTAACAAACCCATGGCCGCACAGAGGAGCTCAAGGGCATTTGCTATTTAAACAACGTGGGCGCAGGACGGGGAAACGATAACTGCATCGGTCTGAAACTAGCAAAGACACTTGCGTCGCGCTTGATAGCAATCCGCCAAGGTGCAAGCACCAAAGGGAATGGGAGATAGTTTTATTGCATGTTACGTCCAACCATTTTTCCGCCTTCAAACTAGCAAAAGTGGATTGGGACGCAGGGCCCTATCTTACACCCAGCACAGAGCGGTGCCAAGCGTGACACAAGTGTCTCTGCTCATTTTCAGACCCACACACTCATGGACGCACAGAGGAAGTGCATTTGTTATTTAAACAACGTGGGTGCAGGAAGCGAAAATGATAACTGCGTCGGTCTGAAACTAGCAAAGAAACTTGTGCTCTGCATCGGGTGGAGATAGGGCAATAAGACTGCATCTGGGAAAACATCTGGAAATGCTGATATTTTTATATTTTTTGTGAGTCCCCTATTTATGCTCAAATTCTCCTCATGCTTAAATTGAATTACATATTGTATTTTTAAATTGTCTCAGCACTCAACTACTACTGTCTCTCAAGTAGAGTATTATTAGCAGTATAATGGCGCATTTCCACTAGCACGGTACGACATGGCACGGCACGACACGGCACGGTATTTGCGTGTTTCCACTAGTACGTAGTACCTGGTATCAGGTACTATTTTGGTATCGCCTCAGCCCTGGTTCCAAGCGAGCCGAAGCGATACTAAAACGTGACGTCAGCTGACTGCCTTCCACTGATTGGCCGACGAGTGTCGTCACTGGAAGCGTCAAAAGCGCGCGACAACCGACCAGACTGTAAATAAACACAAGACTCGACCCCACCACTTTTTAAAACCCCGTTGCTCTTCGACTACACTTCGAACACGAGAAAATGGCTTTGAAGAAAAAATCCACGCCATGGTCGGTCGAGGAGGTCCAGACGTTCCTCTCTTTGGTGGCCGAAGAAAGGATACAGAGGGAGCTCGACGGCACAACTCGGAACGAGAAAATATATCAGGAAATCGCCCAGCTGATGGCCACACATGGGTACAAACCCTAGCAATGCAGGGATAAGATGAAGAAAATGAAAAGTGATTACCGGGCCAGCTTGTGCAGGCAATGAGTGACCGGCGCGCATAGAACATTCCCCTCACCCTAAAAAGTACTGCCCCCCCGTCTCTGTCGGAGACATGTGTATAATTCAGAGTTTTTTTTGCTTTAATAATTTAATAAAACATTTGTGTGATTGTATCATGACTATTTCATTTGTCAGTAAACATGCAACAAGATTTAATTATCATCTAGATTTTATATAGAGCTTGTTTTATAATGATGGTAATGTTCTGGAGCAAGGAGAGAGCAAGCAACAAGGAGAGATCCTTGATATAGTGTACACAGGATGTGATAGTTATGGTTAACTTAGGGTTAACTTTTATTTACATTTGTCAGTAATTCCTGGTAACCTTGGTGAATTTATGATAAATAAAAGTGGAGACATATTTGCAAAATAGAAAAAGTTTATTGTTGGCCAAACACACAGATCTATACCCTCAAACGTCGTCTTTTTGCAGCTTCCAAAACTCTTCTGTGCTTTTCAACTGTATTTTGTCTCGCGGCCTGGAGTCTACTCTGGCTCTCTTATTTTGCCTTGTGTGTGACAAAAAGCCACAGAGTGAGCAGCAAATACACAATCGCCTCGGTGTCCTCCATTGTCGTTGTTGTTGTTGTTCCCATAGACATATATACATAGACGCCTCATGACGTGATGGAACGTAACCCAGCATCGCCGCCATATTGGTAGGGAGTCCTCACTCTAGTCTAGCATAGGAGTCAACGGGAGAGCAAGCTATGCCAGTATGTTGTGCAGCTTACGGCGCAGTATTGACACCAGATGGCGTGGGATTACCTTTAACAAGTAAGATTGAACAATAATTCTTATTATTTAAAAAAAAAAAAAAAAAAAAAAAAAATTCGTCCTGTATCATAAATAAATCTCTGCCATTTGTAACAAACCAAACCGTGTGAAAATCCGGTAAAAATTCGGGGAGTTATGCTTATTATTGTAGTTGGGGATACACCTTCCTCCATAGAAATGAATGCACTGGGGACGCACTGGGTCCCCTTCCAAGATGGCGGCCGCGCTGCTACGTCAGCTCTAACGGGCAGCGTCAGTCTATGAGGCGTCTATGCATAGATATATATAGAACACTAGATGCGTTACGGCGGAGTCTACAACGTCCTCACAGGTCGGCCATCTTACTCCAGGCAAGATGGTCGACCACAGGCATCTTACCACAGGCAAGATCTCTGTACAGGGTGGGGGATTTCAACATGCAGCCTTTCTTATAGCCTATTTGTAATAGGAAATATTGTAATCTACCTATTTTAGAACTTTATTCTATTTTTATTTTTATTTTTTTTAATTTTTTTTAATTATGCAATTATGCAATGCACTTTGACGTTTATAACAAACCAAACCGTTTGAAAATCGGATGAAATTTGAGCAAGTTATGGTAATCTAAAAGTACATGTACCACTACAACACATGTTATGGGGGACCGAGCTGCCTGGAGTAAGATGGCCGCCATGTGCGGACGTTCCACTCCGTTGGCCAGCAACGCGGACGAGGCATCTAGTGTTTATATATATCTATGCGTCTATGTATATATGTCTATGGTTGTTCCGGTTTTGTGCGTGGCTTGGCGCGGTGTAAATGACGTCACGGCAGTTTTGCGCAGCCGTGTTATGACGACCCCTCCCACGTCAAGGAGGTACTATATGGTACTCAGTTGTAATGGAAACAGATCCGAACCGTACCGTGCCATGCCGTACCAGTGGAAATGCGCCATTAGTGTACCTTGGAGAGAGATTGAATGCATATCCGGGCAGAAAGCCAGACATGTAATTGAACATTGCAAAAAGTCCATAGCGAGGGCTACAGTGAAGTAAATCACAGCGCCCCCAACATAACGCAGCACAATAACCTGCTTTAATTGTAAACGTAGTCACTGTAACTCGGCTTGCTAGTGCATGTTAATTGGGGGGGCTCTGTGATGAACCTCCCACTGAGCAGAACACAGGCCATCATGCCAGCACTGCTGCAGACTCCTGCTGTGAGCTGAACCGGAAGGTCTAAACACACACACACACACACACACATATATATATCCACTTGCGACAAAACATCCCCACATTCAC